AAAAAATTCAGCTTAAAATAAAACATGAGAAGCGTACAAAATCTAAAATGCTTACTCTGAAGAAATCATTTTTTATTTCTTTTTAAATATTCATAATTCAGAACTTTACTAATTTAGCATCAAAAATAGAAATAGGCTGGATTCTAAGCACAGTATCACCAATTATTTGGTTACTTCCAAATAAGTTACAGTAATAAATTAATAAATTTACATCCTAAAACATTGTTTACCAATCATGCTGTATCTTTATTTTTTACATTATCACCAATAAATTTATTTCTTTTTAAAGTTACATCCTAAAACATTGTTTACCAATCATGCTGTATCTTTATTTTTTAAAACTACATCCAAACAAAAAGTGGCTATAAAACCCATATTTCTCAAATCCTCATTTTTGGAACTGTACAAAAAACGATGGTTGTAGATTGTTTTTTTCCTTTTTTTGTTTCTTTTCTTACACATATACGTAAAAAAAATTATTATTGTTATATATATATATACAATACGAGGGTTAAAACAAGTTCTTTGTATAGATTAATTGAAATTGGTTCGTTGTTGAGTTAATATATTTAACGTTATTGGGTCACTTAATATATATTACTCTGTTGTAATATTATATATATATATATATACCTATTGTATTAATTTCATTATCTATACANAAATTAGTATTAATACACACTACTATTCATATAAAATAATATTGTATATATAGATGTAGCATTTTTAAATATTTTTTTCCATCTATATTACTCTACAAATATATTTTATTTTATTTTGAAAAATTTATATGATAAACAACTATAATTTTTTGTCAACAAATAGATAATTATTGTATATATCTAATACGTACCAATCATTCATTAGTTTTAAGATAGTTACAGCAAAATTCTACAGCTACAACAAATATATCTACAGTCCAAATTTTCCAGCTACAGCAAAAATGTCTACAGCCCAAATTCTACAGCTACATCTAAAACGTCTACAACCCAAATTCTACAACAATTAATCTACAACTACTACCTAACCAATCACCCACATAAAGCATGATTGGTAGAGAATTAAGAGTTTAAGTAAAAAATGACTGTAAAAGCTACTTACAACCCAGCCAATCATGCACTATAAAAAAATATTTTTTTGTTTAACACTCTAGAGTTAATAGTTGTATTTTGCTAATTGTTTATTTTAATGTAATAAAATAAGTATAAACAAGTTTCCATACAAACTTCATATACTATTAAAATTACAAAAAAAAACTGATACATTGCAAAACTTACTAAAAATTAAACTTTAAATAAAAAAATCTCTTTGGTGAAAGAAAGTTATGAATAGTTGATTTATAAAAAATTAGCTTACCAGTGTATTATTGGGATAATTTTTGTAATTATGAGGCAAAATATAATTACTTTCGAGTGTATTTTGTTGGACTAATTTATTCAATTTTGAGGTAAAACTTAGCAGTTTATAAGTGAGTTTTTGGAATAATTTATTTGATTTTGAAGTACAAATTGAGTAATTTTAAAGACCAGAAGCCCAAGAAAACAAAGCCCATCTCCTAATCATTTTCTGGGGGGTAATTTATTCCAATTTCTCATATTAAACTGTGAACAACATATTTTTGTTACTCATCATCATCACCAATTCACCACAAACGTTTCTTTTTCATTTTCACAACAATTTGAATTTCAATTGCTAGAAAAATACTCTTTATCCTCTGATTCAACACCAAGGCAAGACCAGTCGAAAGCAGGAGTTGCATAGGGACCGTTGAGTATACCCTGAGCCATCTTTTGGTACGCGGCTTCGGTTAAATGATAACCGTCCCAATTCACATACTCAGAAGGATTTTGGCAATAGCTAACTCCTTCGTATCCACACTCTTTATTAATAGTGAAGTTGTATTTACCTCCGACTCCACAACAAGCAGCCAAAGGTCTCTTCTTAAACCCTAAACAAGAAGAGACCATATATATAAACATATAAGTTAACAAATAACAAATCAAACCGTGTGGGTCAAGGACACGGACCGTATTTGGCTGGTTCTTGGAAAAACCGGTACAGTGAGTTGTAGTAATCAACATAAATGATGTTGACATGAGGGTAGAGTATTTGAAGTCGTTTGACTTCTGATTTGAGATGTTCGTTGTGGTACTCTCCGAATTTGTTGAGCCGTGGGAGACAACCTGTGAAAGGGTCGTATTCTTGTTCTTCCGCGGTTTGAAATAGAGTAAGGTAAGCCGCGGAACATCCTAAAGGGAAGTTTCCGGGTACTAGAAATGTTTTGCACCCCAAATCGATCAAATCCTGTAGTTTTGTTGCTTAATTTGTTAAAATTATAAAAACACATGCATGTGATATTTTCTTGGGAGGGAAAATGTAAAAGATTTTGTTACCACAATGGCACAAGAAATAGCTTTGATGATTAGAGGAACTAGCTCTTTGATTACATTAATGCTTTTGCCTTCGAAGAACGGGTAATTATAGTCATTGCCACCAATCTCTCCCATAAGTATCAGCGAGTCTCCAAGCATCTCTCTGCAATCTAAAACCCGGAAACAAATAAAAACCGTGAGATGCGAGGTTGATTCATCATCATAGATATGGAAGAGAACAAACAAGGCTACATTTCTAACTTACCACGAGAAGACGTGGCGCAGAGGCTAGGTAAAGCCTGCTTGAAGATGTTAAGCTGAACACTTAAACTAACATTGGTGAAATCAGATTCAATTCCTTTTTCTACAAGAAACTCACGATCCAATGCTGTTGCTCCATACACCGCGAAATTGATCCCTTGATCAAAGCTCACATTTTGGGATCCGAAGTAAGGTGGTACATACGGTAGTCCCAAGAATTCGGCTTTTACAGAAACCAAATACAAACACAAACATTACAAGAAACTCAAGAGCAAGTAGGGCTTCTAATTTGCTGCTCAAGCAAGAGAGGAAAAAACAGAGGAAAACTCTAAGGATACTTTGCCTAAATCTCTTATCCATAGAGAGGTAAATTAGGTACCGATAAAGTCGATGATGAGACGGCCATCGGAGTAACGGCCGGTGGGATGGTGGAAGAATGTTTCGCCGTAAGGGAGAGATAGAGCTTGAGGAGGAGGATTGACGTCGGAGAGACGGATAAAGTTTCCGGTATCGGCGCAGGAATCACCGAAGCTGATGATAGATGTGTAACGCCGACACGGTGATTCTGATAAGGCATCAATGATGATAATGGTGACCGATAAGATTAGTAGAAAGCTTGAGATGAGCTTCTTCCATGGAGAAGCCATGGGAAGAGAAGTCCTTTGTCTCTAGTAACTCAATTTTTAAATTCTTTTTTTCAACCATTAAATAATGGTGAGATGAGTTAATTGTTGAATTTTTATAATACTATCGAGTCAACAAGAAAGAGTAAAGACAAGTTGCATGCTCCATTACCCATTCTATGGTGCATNGAAATCGTGAAAAAGATAAATGAAAGATTCCTTTTCACTTCTTTTACTTTTAAATCATAAAAATGCATTTCTTGTTTAAAAAAAAAAATACATTTCTAACCAAATCTCTATACATATAAAAAAGAAATGTTCGAGATGGACTCCTAAATTTACACCTCATCAATTTTATTACGTGCCATAGCCACAACAAGTAATTTTTTTCTCACACAAACGTTTTTGTAGAAATTCTTAAAAATACGTCTAGAAATTTATCCAGCAATCCAACGATTCATAATATTTCGTTGTAATAAAAATTACATATTTTACAAATCATTTGAATGCAGCACAATCAATAATTATGCCCATTGATTTTAGTAGATATTACAAAAAATGTCATTATTTTTAAAATTACTCGTTAAAAATGCTATTATTTTGATAGCTTACAAAAAATACCACAATTTTATCTTCTAATGAATGCAAAAAGACTTATTTGCCCTATAACTAATCTTTCTCTTCTCTCTATTTCTCTACCACACATTTTCTATCTCTTTCTCTTGTTTGGAAAACCAATATTCTTCTTCTCTCTCAAACTAGTCTATCTTTTCTCTCTCTTTCTCTCTCTTTATTTATTTCTTTCTCCATAAAAATGGTAGATGGTGGTGGTTGCCGGTGGAAATAATACGGTGATGGAGATGGAGACAACTGGTGGTGGACAAAAACAAAGACGGTGACGAAAGATGAAAATGAAGCT